TATATATATATATATATATATATATATATATATATATTGTGTGTGTGTGTGCGCGCGCGCGTGCGGATAAATAAATAAAGGGAGACTAGTATAGATCTATTCCAAGCTATTTAGCTCTCATCAGCTAGCCATACCCTTACTGGGATTCGAACCTGTGCTATATTACATCATATATATAATGTATGCATTTTTTTTTTCTCCTGGATCTTAGGTCTGCCTTAGTCATTCTTTTTAGTACTATTTAATTTAGGAGGGAAAAATTATAGAAATAAATGTCCATAGTGCTGCTGCAAAAAGAGAATTAAATTATCAATAAAATTCATTTAATTCAGTGGTTATAAGCTTCTATTCTAGAACGGACTGAGCTCTCGTTTTATAAGAGTCTTGTCTTTACTTGAGTCATGTCGCTAGAATTTTGAAAAGCCAGTTTTATGAGGAAGGACCAATCAGAATTTCAAGAATTCTAATGATATGCTCTAATTAGAGTTCCTGTTCAGTTGAAATTATAGCATATGAATGAGAATTGTTTGAGAGTTAAAGAACTCTCAAATTTCTTAGTGTCCTATCCTTTTTAAATATTCATTGAGAGTGAGACAAAAAACATCTGATGATGTTTTACCTTTTTAAAAACCTGAATCCATTGATTTTTCAAGATTATGTATTACAGTTCTTTCTTATACAGCCCAGTTGTATAACTAGATTAATAAAAAATATCATTGCAGAATATATATATGAATGTTAAAATGAAACTCAGTGGTACAATTGAAAATCTGGTAGATTAAATCTCCCTTCACCATAATTCAGATTTCCCAGAGACATTTGAGTGGTTTTGGTGTGCTCTGGATATTTTTCTAAGTAGTTTGCCTAACCAGGTAAAGTATCTGATAGAAATAAATACTGGAATTCCTCTTAATTCAAAATACTTGGAAATATTTTGAGACAAATAAATATACGTGCATTTTGTACAACTGTAAATCGTAATTTCCTATTGTAGTGTATAGTATAGTATAGTATAGTATAGTATAGTATAGTATAGTATAGTATAGTATAGTATAGTATAGTATAGTANAATACAGCAACATTCGTACCTTGGATGGGGCTGGAAGATTCAACAGCCCCAGGCCTGCCGGAACAGCCAGGTCTTAGTAGCTTTGCGGAAAGCCGGAAGGGTGGTAAGGGTCCGGATCTCAACGGGGAGATCGTTCCAGAGGGTCGGAGCAGCCACAGAGAAGGCCCTCCCCCGGGGAGTTGCCAGCCGACATTGGCCGGCAGATGGGATTCGGAGGAGGCCTAGTCTGTGGGATCTGATCGGTCTTTGGGAGGTAAATAGCAGGAGGTGGTCTCTCAAGTACCCAGGTCCGATACCATGTAGGGCTTTAAAAGTAATGACTAGCACTTTGAAACGTGTCTGGAGACCAATGGGCAGCCAGTGCAGGTCGCGGAGGATAGGTGTAACATGGGTGTACCTAGGTGCACACACAATCGCTCGCGCGGCTGCATTCTGGACAAGCTGAAGTCTTCCAACACTCTTCAAGGGCAGCCCCATGTAGAGCGTATTACAGTAGTCCAGTCTTGAGGTCACGAGGGCGTGAGTGACTATCCGAAAGGCCTCCAGGTCCAGGTCGAGATCCGGTATGTACCTGCAGGCCTCAGATGCTACACAGGAGATTGTCTCTTCTATCACAATTATATCTTCAGGAAAAATATATGCATATCATGCTAAGGAACTATAGGAATTGCATGTTTATGTAGAACACCAGGTATTTTTATCTTTCAGAGTTTTTGATATCACCTACCAATGAACGTTTGGTTCCACTTCTCATTTTCTTCATTATTACTAAGTATTGCACATGTCTTACTTGTCCATAAAAATGGCTTATTCTTGAGTTAGCTGGATTTGATAATGTGATAGGTATTAATTTGTCCATCACAAACTTAGTTGATTTTGTTGTGTGCCAAGAAACTTTGCTATATCATGTTTTTCTTGGCCCAAAAGCCAAAACTTTAACATCATTCTCTTGAGTTAAAAGGTTAGTTAAATGGAAGTTGGACTTTTTAAGTCACCAGGAGTATTTGACATCTGTCATAGTACACTCTTTCTCTATGGCTTGATCCCAGAGCAGTTATTAAAGGCACAATGTATAATACATGCAATTTGACTGTGACTCAGTTATTACCTTTTTCAGATAGTGGTTGTAAAAATTCTGGGTTTATCCTTCACTTTTTATGGGTATAAAGGTACGTTAACTGATGGACTGTAGCCATACCTATGAAATTTTAATAGCTAGCTCCCTATATGGGAACCAATAGACAAGGGTTCTGGCGTTCAGCTTTATAAAATGTAGATCAACTGTGTACCAGACATTTTTCATAGAAGGAGGAAAAAACCCATAATTTTGCATGTGAAATATAAAGTCCCTTACTCTATCTTTATTCAAGATATGAACATTTTAAAACTGTTAGTGTTGGAACAGATCCATGTTTTTTCCACTAGTCCAGTTAGCTTAATTATGTAGGTAGAAGTTGTAATGGCTACATTGATTGTCAAATATTA